TCAAACAGTGGATTCAGATCCAACAAATAACTTACAGCACTGTTTTCTTTGTGTCTTATCATGGCTGCTTACTTCTAATATAAAGTTACATTACTGATCTTTGCAGTCAGCAGAAATGTGTAATTCATCATCTTCAGAAAGTCTGACTTACCAACAGTGAGTTGGATGGAAGCTTCCTTCAACATTGATTCAAGGAAGCAAAAGTATTTTCCTGCATCAGAGATTTTCACTCTGAAGATTTTCATGGAGACGTTTCCATTCTGCAGTTCAGCCTCAAACAGTCTCGTTCTGAGATAATAAGATGGGTTTTGACTGTGATACACCGGTTGTCCATCTTGGTGAAAATGGATGTACTTTGGGTCTAAACCAGGTCTGGTCCACTCCACTGTCTCAGAACTGGCACTGATTGGAGGATCAAGGTAACATGGTAGAATGACATCATCACCAGCCAGGGCTACGATTGGTTGATGTGAACAAATCAACTCTGACTGCTCTGCAACGCAAACTAAAGAACAAACAAGAAACAGTAGTATAGTTATAATACATGTCATCAGACTGAATGGATTCATTTTTACTTTCTAAAAGTAAGAAAACATTTAATAAAACAAAGAAAAGACAAATGTTTGTGACTTTTTTCTCTAATTCTTTCTTGTTTTTTCCCCCTCAGTCGATATGTGACATTATGTGTAACTGAAGAGTGAGACTGAATAAAATGTTAAAGAGTTCTGTATCAGGTTGGAAATATTGCATTGGATCTCATTAAATGTTCTTCAGTTTCCCAGAGAGTTAAATCTATTGATGAACTTAGTTCAATGTGAAATGTCTGAACAACTATCAGGTGGATTAACATGAAATGTGTTTTTTTTAATTATTAGTGTAGAAACTACCTGTTAAACTCTGTATTAGCAGAATGGTGATACGCCTCAAGAACAGTCCAATGAGCAGCATCTTTGACTCCTGAAAATGAAAATGGTCGAACAGGGTGGAAACCCTAGAGCTGATTTGAGTTTTTCTTTGGTTTCGCTGTCTTATAGCTCATTTGAATATTAGTCAATAACACTGTAAATAAGAATAATGTATTAAGGTAAAGGATGCATTGAAGCATTAAACACTGCAGACACTTTTAACAGGAGAGAGAGACTCAGTGTAGACTGACACAGGACAAGGTCAAAGACAGATCACAGACGGTTTGTTAGGATATTTTATAGCGTACATTGTTTATTAGTTATTTTTATATATATACACACACACACACACACTACTGTTCAAAGGTTTGTTTAAAATAACATTAAATGTGTTAAATGGCACATTGTGTTAGCGAATCCCGTTTATTGTGTTGAAAACTGATCATTAGAAAACACCTGTGCAGTTATGTTAGCACAGCTGAAAACTGTTTTGTGCACAGACACAGACAGACAGACAGACAGACCAAAGTTGTGACATGTGCAGCAAACATTATGTAGACTAAACTGCTGAATTTTGTAGACTATCTGTGTGATGATGAGTGAGATAAACTGTGGTAAACACAGATAGTGCACACATTAATCTCATACCTCAGACTGATTCATTTATAGGCTGGATGTAATTACAAACATTAAAAACAACCATGACATAAGACCGATAACATGAGGATTTTGGACGTTTTAATAGTGAGCAGCAGACACCAAAATGAATGTCCCAGCAAAGTGTTTCTATTGCAGTGTTTCAAAAGTCACCAACAGATGAATGTCATAGGTTTGAAGTAGTCACAATCTTAATTTCCTAGTTAGGCAATAAGGGCTCCTGAAAGCCAAGCATACACACACCTGCACCCTTTAATCAGGAATGAATAGACTTCATGAAGGCAAACATTTAATTTATCACATGAAATCTTTAAGTTTTAAACAACTCTTACCTGCAGAATGAGGAATTAAACTCTCCACTGTGATGTTGGTTCTCTCTGACATAAATAAAGTACTCTGTCAGCTGTCTGACTACAGAAAGAGTTAACTGTAGCTTCATGAAAACCCTCTGCAGTAAAAACCACAAACTCATTCTGTGTCAGAGTCCTGTGTCGATGATCTGTTACAGATATTGTCGAGAATTCAGGAAAACACAAACTGAAAGTCACTGAGATCTTGTGACGCACTTAACAAAAGATTTATTAAGATCCAAAAAAGGCGTTAAAAGAAGTTGTAATAAAGAAAACACTCGACCTAAAACAATGTGCATGAACTCACAATGACAGTAATCACATCTATTTAACAGAAAGTAGCAAAAATACGTCGACACACTTCTTCTCCTCGCAGCTTCATGACGGACCGCAAAAAGTTGGACAGCACTCTCACAGCTTGCAGGTAAACAACAGCTGACTGCCACTCTTCTTCTTTGGCGGACTTCATACCAACGTTAAGGTGCATGCCGCCACCTACTGTACCGGAGTGTGTAAAATCCTGACTTTATTGGAATTTCATTCTGTATATTAAGAAATCAGAATTAACCACCACACACTGGGATGAAATGTGAGGTGTTGTAACTGTGAAATGTTACAGGCCTCAAGCATGAGTTACCAGTAAGCAGATATTGAGTTCTGTTTCGACATTAAGTTTCTTGTCATCGTTCAGCAGACTCACTCTGGCTGCCTCTTTTGTCCCAACTGGGAAGTTCCACTTTCAAAATGACGACTCCAAAACAGCAAACCAAATTAGCACATGAGCTGCATTTCTCAAAGGATTTAAATGTTATCAACCAGTGACTTTTGGGTGGGTGGTAATGCATTACACTCATCAATACAACATTGTATACTTTGTCATGAACAAGCGCAAATGCTGCATCGCTGCAGCGGCTGCAGCTGGTTACCATCTGTGGTCAGCTTGTCCTTCAGTTCAGATATGGAGCGCAGAACATTCTCGTTTTGAGAGAATCTGTGGTCTTAGACGTGTACTTGGCAACCTGTTCGTTTGACAGGTGATCAGCTAATTGACTGTCTAAAAAAGGGAAGTGGTCACCGCTGGAGTGAAGTGGGGGATTCATCGGACCCCCGCAGGGTCAAGCTCATGTCCCCCACAAATTGAAACCTAACCATCTAATTAACACGTTGTATCTTGTTTGTTGTGGTTTGTGCCAGACTCCAGTTGTGGTCACTTTCGGCCTAATGTTGGTGCTGGTGTCTGTGACAGCTGGACGTAAGTTACTACACCATCATCGACCACTACTCAACTAAAGCCCAATAAACCTGTTGAGTAAAGCACTGGTCTTGTTCTCACAGCTTCTTCAATAAGGAAAATGTGTCTCAGGCGAGGTGTGAACTACGGGGGAGCCAGGGGGGTCTCAGCCTCCCTTAATGAGACATGAGCTCCCCTGAAAACATGATTTGTGAAATTTTGGGGGGGTCTCTAAAATATTGGCAAAAGGCTGTTTTTTCCCATGCATTTCCTTTTTCTTTTGTCTTTTTGTTTGTCATAATCATGGATCATGTGTAAAATTAGGCTATTTTTAATGTATGATTTGCACATGAGGGTGATTCATTCAATTCTTGTCCTCACCATTGAAGCGTGGGGGCGTTATCTCTTAAACGTCACTTTAAATCAGATATCGGAAACGAAAAAAAAAGACCCGCTCTGGACCATTTGCGCTTTTTTAAAATTATGATGGTCATGCGTGTGTGGTGTCATTGATTGGTCTGTTGATGCGTGTTATAGTATTTAAGAAGTTATTTTGCGCATGTTAATGCAGACTTGATTCCTTGTAACCAGACTGGCATGTTCTGGTTTTGATTTAGATTTGATGCGTGTGTGGAGGTTGGATGTGATATATGTGCTTATATGTGCTGACATAAGGCAAGTAGGCGTACAGGTTTGTAATAATGGATGTGTTTTGAGTAAGTCCTCGCTCTGGGGCACGCACAAGCTTCACCTTTGTGTTTGTCAGGTATCGATTAGGAACACTGACAGATCTGAATTCAAGCTGAATGTTTGGTTCTGTGTTAACAAGTTTCATGGAAAAGACCCCTGCATCATCTTGAAGGTTGGAGGTAAAGACATTTACACCAAACTTTTTGTTTGCTTTACTAACATAAAGTTTTTCCCCCCCAATGTAACTCCTGATGTCTTCTGTTGCATCTATTCTTATCTCCAGATGAGCCATGGTTCAGTGAGGTACGCTGCTCCAAGAAGAAGAACTTTGTCTGTGCCAAGAATATGTGATTATCTCCAGCTGCTGTTTGCGTCAGTGTGGATGTAAAGCATGAAAGCACAGACGTTTCACCAAACACCAGCTGTCGAGTTAAAAATCATCTGGCCAGTCATTTTCATAGAAAGAGTATAGAGTAATTTACAGTGGGAGCAATAATTATTTGATCCCTTGCTGATTTTGTAGGTTTGCCCACTTACAAAGAATGAAACTGTTACAATGACAATGATGCAAATAAAATTTTAGCTTTATTTTTCACAAAGTCATACAGGTGGTCATTCTCTTTATGAAATAAAAGTCAAAAGACCAGACAGTCAGTGATATTGAACACCTGCACAGAATGATGCTCCAGCAAAGGAGGAAGATATTTTCCATTAAGATATACTCCTAATCTCAACTCATTATCCAAAACACCTGTGTCAACTCGTTACATCGTTATGTAGCTGTATAAAAGACACCTGTTCCTTGCCCCCGTCGCCAAGTGCTTGCTCATGGTTGTTCTGTTGGGTCTCTGAAAATAATGTTTGTAATGATAGTAGTCAGTTACTCTGTTAATTTAAGTCTGCTGACGTCTCTATAACACTTGAATCTTTGTGTTATTGTATTTATAAGCTGATATGAAGTTGACCAAAGACGCCTCAGTGTCTTTTCCAACATACTGACACACACACACACACACACACACACACACACACACACACACACACTGTGTCTGCTGCAGTGATGTTGACGTACTGTATTAGGCTGAGCAATTAATTCCCCCTTTATAGAATTTGGAGCTAATGTTTGAATTTGTTCTGTAAACTGATAATATATAAATAAAGTGTTTAAAAAAGGACAACATGAGCTTCATGAGTTTTTATTTTTTTATTATATAAGTTGTTCAGTCACTTTGAGTTAATGTTAGGCTGCAGCACATTTGTTACTGAGGTCATTATTTGTCTGTTCACAGGGGCCCCATGAAGAGATATTACATAGAACCTAATCGACCCATTCAAAGCTTTAAATAACTCATGTTTATGTTTATGTCACAAATAACTATATTTTACAGTCTTTACAGTCAGATTTTTAAACTTTACATTAACTTCTTTAGTTAAAATAAATGTTCACTCATCATTCAATGTTACAAACTGTCTGACGTCCACTGCAGACTGAAGGATGTTTCTGTTTTCTGTTTCATATAATGATCATTATGTATAAAATGGATTACACTGATTGATACAGAGTCTCTCTGGATGTTGCTGCAAAGAAGAAAAGCAAAATAAACTGTTGTATTAGTATATTGTGAATAAAATGTACTTAATGTGCTAATATTGATACATCTTAAGCTAAAGCTAAGCTAAATAAAAAGCTCAGAAACTTAAAGTTAAATGTAAACATTTGTAAAATATCCTCCAGTGTCACAATGATTTCCTCCGCTCTTCTTTTCTGCCACCTTCTGGTCATTTTGGTCTCTACAGTTCCGTCATGAGGAACGTTTTCCTCAACTGCGTTTTGCTTCTTTGGGATCTTTATTCATTCTTCTGGTTCCTTATTATATCTGTGTTCAAACAGAAACAGGAAAGTGTTACAGTTGTTGTGTTCATGTGTTTTTGTCTAATCAATGAATGAGTGTTAAGGGGACACTTCACCCATTTGCATTAAGCTTTGTATCATTAGAACTGCAGTCATATTTTGACTGGTCGTGCATCATTCCCTCACTTCCCGGAGAGGGAGAAATACAGATTTTAGTGTTGCACTTCCTGCTTTCAGTGATGTAAAATCGTCATTTTGGTATTGGAAGCAGGAAGTCTCATACTGTATCTCTGTAGAGGGGGTGAAACTACAAACACTACTTCCTCATTTTTTTCACTCACTCTACAGACCTATTACAGATCAGTGGGTGGGACTAAAAATATAACCGCCATCTTGTTTGGAAGCTGCGGAGGCACTGTGGAGCCAGACGTTACAATGATGGTAATCAATGTAATATGGAAGAAATTTGAAGTATGATGGTCGAATCAGATGTTCGTGGCTACCTTTATGAGCCGCTATATAGCGAGCAGCGTCTGAGGCTGCTGCAGCCGAGGCAGAGGACCTGGCTGTCGCGGACGAGGAGCCCGGACTGGCTCGAGCTGGGGCGGACTGCTGGTGCCTGTGCTCTCGCTGTGCGCCTACGGACACACGGACGTCTGACTGTAAAGTGTTTCTATTTCTGTCTTATAACAACGTGGCATGTATGTACACAATTTGTTCAAGTATTATCACAAAGTTATTCCCAGTTAATACGTAACGTCAGCCAACTGAACTAACGTTAACTTCTTTACTGCACAAACAGCTTGTGGCACACTACACACAAAGACCGTGCATCTCTAACTGTGTGCTTATGTCTTGTAGACAATATCGTCTAACAGCCTTTCTAGAATGGGTCCTGCAAGGCAAAGATTGGGTCGAGGCGTCGTTTACCCGTTGGATGTGGTGCAGGCTATCCGACAGAAACATCCAGCCCCAGATGGCCAGTACTGCGGCACCGAGACGTTGAGGACGCTCAGGAGGAACTATAACTGTCATTGTTAACATATTTATTTTTGTTGTTGTTGATATATTTCTGTAAATAAATGGTTTACAGTCACGTTGTTTGTAGTCCTTGATAGTGTTAGTGGGAGCGGTTTGCGGAGCTGTGCATTGTGGGAGTTGATGTCTTTAATACAAATGCGCTCTAAAGTCACTTTCTGTCTTTTCTCGGTCAAATAGGTACCAAATTCAAAATGTATGTTACATTTCGACTACATATATAACCCACTTTCAATAAATATTAATGTTTCCACGGGTGTAATGCTCCTTTAAAGTGAGAAAACTACACTAGCAGAACAAAAATATGATAATTGAACTGGAATATTTTTAACATCACAGTGACTTTCATAAACAGAACATTTCCAAATGAGAGAAAGCTTTTGAAAGCAACACATTTTCTTTTATTTCCTCCATTTTCCCCAAATTTCCTGCAGTGAAGATCATTTCAGACTGTTTGCTTAGTTACTGTTGTTATGCCTGTATGTATGTCAATAAAGAGCTCTGACAGGAACTTGGAATAAAAAAGGAAAATAAATATGTGAATTACATGTTATCAGCATGATAATAAAGAGCACTGCAATGATGATGATGATGATCCAAATCCAATCAGAAGACTGAACTGTGAATGAATCAGATGAAAAGATAGAAGAGAGAACAGAATGACATTATTGAATCAAACTAGAGCTCAACAGTGACAATATGTTTAATATATTTAGAGCTCTTTATAACCTGGAACATAGATGTGTGTCTCTCTGGTCTGGTTGATGTCCTTCTGTTGGACTCTACAGGTGAAGATGTTGCTGTGTCTCTTCTCCACAGTCACTCTGCTGCTGACAGTATAGAGGTCATCAGGACCTCTGACTGTCTCTGTAGGTCCAGCAGAGAGGAGGTTTCCCTCACCGTCCAGCCAGACCACCTCAGGCTCTGGATACCAGCCTTTAGACTCACACTGTAAAACTACTCTTCCACTGTTATTGGAGACAACCTCTATGATGGGAGTGGAGACGACACCTGATGAGAAGAGAGGAGGAATTTCAAACAGTGGATTCAGATCCAACAAATAACTTACAGCACTGTTTTCTTTGTGTCTTATCATGGCTGCTTACTTCTAATATAAAGTTACATTACTGATCTTTGCAGTCAGCAGAAATGTGTAATTCATCATCTTCAGAAAGTCTGACTTACCAACAGTGAGTTGGATGGAAGCTTTCTTCAACATTGATCGAAGGATGCAAAAGTATTTTCCTGCATCAGAGATTTTCACTTTGAAGATTTTCATGGAGACGTTTCCATTCTGCAGTTCATCCATAAACAGTCTCGTTCTGAGATAATAAGATGGATTTTGAATTCGATGCATCAGTCGTCCTTCTTGGTGAACATGGATGTACTTTGGGTCTAAACCAGGTCTGGTCCACACCACACTAAGGAGAAGCAGATTCTTTGTAACTACAGATTTAACTAATTTAACCCAAACTTAACAAAAACAATCACACAGACCTGCTATCAGGGAGGACCGCTTTCATCTGAACACAGCTCTCGTCTCTGACACACAGCGTGGACACTGCTGGACGACCCACTGGCACACAGCTGCAACTCTGGTCCCTGTGTATACAGGCCCAGGATCAGTGTCCTGACATAACTTCTGTAATGGATTGACGCGACACAAATAAAATTTAATTGAATTGAATGTTCCTTTGTATATCAGGTGTAGTCAACTTGTGGCTCTGGGGCCATATGAGGCCCTCTAGTGGCTCTCTGTGGCTATGACAAAGAATAATGTGTAAATGAATAACGGTGAACTTTTATAAAGTACATTAAGGTTGAAGGCCTAATGTGATTCTTACATTATCCTGTTGTAAACATGTGTGACCATTACACACCAAATGATAAAAATGTGACATTTCATTTCAGTAAGAAAAAAATAAAAAATAAAGAAAAGTCTTTGTGTGCAACATTTGGAGGAAGATACAGAATTTAATACTGCATGGAGAGAATTTTCTTTTTGATAATAGATTAGATTAGATTAGATTAGATTCAACTTTATTGTCATTGCACAAGTACAGGTACTAGGCAACAAAATGAGTTAAGCATTTAACCAGAAGTGCAAAGCAGTAAAGTGCAGAATAATGTGCATTTATACAAAATTATGTTTTTTAAAAAAAAAAAAAATAACATTAGATATATATATGAATATACTAGAAGGATATTTACAGTATGAACAGTATTAACAGAATGAACGCAGTGAGGTGAATAATCTAACATATATAAAGCTATTAAGTTGAGATATTTACAGTATGAAGAGATTAGCAGTAAATTATATAGTGTACGTATAAGTAGTTAAATAGGTTGACATTATACACAGACAGCTAGATATGAATACACTATAGGTAGTTATAAAAAAAACACATAAAGAAAGACAGTTCAGTGGGAGTTCAGGGGAAGGGGGGTCTCCTCCATGCAGAGTTTAGAAGGCTGACAGCTGATGGGAAAAAGCGGCTCCTGAACCTGCTAGTTCGGGAACGGAGAAACCTGTATTGCCTCCTAGAGGGGAGGAGGACAAACAGTTTGTGACCTGGGTGGGAGGTGTCCCTAACAATGCTGCGTAACTTCAGCAGACATTGTTTGCTCTGGACAGCCTCAGTGGTGGGGAGAGTAGAACCGGTGATTTGCTGGGCAGACAGACACAAAGTGGCCATTTTTCCCTCTTCATCTCGGCCTGTTGTTCAGTGCATTGTATCCAGATTTAACACATTCTGTACTCTCTACTGTTCAAAAGGTGTTACAGGAAACCCCAGTAAGTGTAGAAACGTGTACAGACAGCAGTGACGGTCTTCTACCAGGACAGACAGGAAAAACAAAACAGATAAAAAAAATTGTTGTATTTCATGTTGTGTTCGATAAACATCTGGACCCAAATGCAAGACAGATTCAGAGTGAGGTTTGTAATATTTAAAAAAGGTGATGATGATGAGGGTTAAGGATATGGCTGACTGAAGATAGCTGGCAGGTAGAAAGATGAGGTGTATCCAGAATATGGCAGGAATGCAGGGACGATTAACTCCCATTGAAGACTGAACAATCTGGAAAACAACAGACGGAGCACTGGAGTGGATATACTGTTGGGTAGATGAGTTGATTGGAGGCAGGTAGGCAGACTGGGAGGGTTGATAAGTTGATTGGAGGAAGGTGTGTGGAGCAGAGCTGGAAGGCAGGAGGGAAAACCACACACACAACACAGACAGGAGACACAGGGGATGGAGACACAAGGAAAAGGCAAGGATACAGCCATGGTGATGACATCTCAGCTGTTAAATTTGTAATAATTTCTATTCTGAGACAACAGGATGTTCCCTGAAGTTCATTATTAAACATTCTAATAAAACAGATAAATAAAATGTGTTATGATATATTTAATATTGCACAATTAAGTGCTTAAGAAGCTGATATTAGTGTTTTAGAGGTAATGTCTTGTTTTTATTATCATGAATATTTTATTAGCTTTATTTCAAATATAAACGATGAAAATGTATCAAGCATTAATGACACATATTGCATTCACTTGAACGATAAATATGTTTTTCTGAATTAATGAGAAACCTCCAGGACGCTCTCCGTGCTCAGGGTCGACTCTCAGCCCCCCTGAGCCGAACCCACATCCTATAAGTGTGATCCAGCAGGTCCATGTAGCTCTGAGAGAACTTCCAGTTTGTATTGTTATTGCTGTGTTCATCCTTACAGTGCCAGAGGTGTGTGTGTGTGTGTGTGTGTGTGTGTGTGTGTGTGTGTGTGTGAGTGAGGGAAACATACATGAGACCGTCCAGTGTCTGGAGAAGTTAGCCGACATCTACCGTAGCAACAGGCTACAACACAACCTTGCAGAGGCCTACTTGTGTCCAGGAAATATCTACTATATGAGGGTACGCACACACACACACACACACACACACACACACACACACACACACACACACCTATACATTCCTTTATTGCTAACAGGGGACTATCAGAGTACGCTATCCAACAGGGGACTGATATTTCTGGTTAATTTAAAAAAACAAAAATAGCATAGAACATTTTCTTTTAAGGTCTTTTACCAGAATATTATTTCAAATTTAACTTTTTATTTTTTTTAAAAGAAATTGCAAAGAGGGGACTTATTTTCCATTAGCGATGTATACCCATCAAAGAGGGGACCTCCATATACTGCAGTGGAACTACCTTGATGGCGTCTGTACTGGTACAGGGACTGATGATCTGTCTATAAGGTGTGATACCAAAGGGAAGTGGACTAAATGCTCAGCAGATCTCATGGTGCAGAACAGTACTTATCACTGGATGTAGGGTAGTGCTCCAATACTGGAAAACTAGAGGGGATATACCAATGACGGAGTGTCTGGACAAAATGGCTAAAACTTCCTATGTTAGAGATATTAAACAGATATTAAACAGATATTAAACAGATATTAAACAGATATTATTATTGACAGTGTGTCAGTAAACTCAGGAGTTCAGACTGATGGAGAGTCACCGACACACTCACCTCCTCTGACACCGACGCTGGGCTGCAGTTTGGCCGATAAGATGACCAGCACTATCCCGATGATGAACCATTCCTTCCGTATCCTCACCAGGAGGCCCATGTTTCAGCCCCCGGGGGGGTTCACCGGATCACCCCGCCGGCCCCTCTGTCACACCAACCGGGCACAACTTCTACAACTCTTCGGCTTCTTCTCTGGAGGTTTTTTCTTCTTCTTCTTCCTGTCACAAAACAGAAGCAGAGCTCAGAGCCACTTCCGGACATGTGAGCCGTAAAGGCGGTAGTAGAGGCGCAGATGTTTTTACTATTACCGTAATTTATGTAAAAATCACCATAAATTAAGTATAATAAGGGTTTTTTAACATATGTAGTGATATTTAAATAATGGTCTATATTCACTGTGGTTTTGTTGTTTATACTTTTATTTATATATAATATATATATTTACATTTTTTATAGTGTTTATCATTCATTCTTTATATTATTAATGATGGTTCTTAGTGTTCTGTTTTTGTGCTATATAAACAAAGTTATTATAATAATTATTAATATATATTTTAACCTTCAACTAAATAAAAACAGATTGGTAAAATACTTCAAATGATTTTAATAATAATAATAATTATACTTTGTTTGGCAGCAGAGGGCGCACTAAGCTTTCTTTTTAATACCAGTGAGCTCAACAAATGGACTATTTGTATCAGTTAGACCATTGAACATTACGTTTTAAGGAGGATAACAATAATAATAATAATAATAATAAACAGAAGAAGAAGTAAAAGTATATTACATATACATTATATATACATTTTATTTTACATTTCAGGCAACAATGAGTCAAATAAAATCAGACAATTCAAATAATAGAAACATGTTGTTTATAGGTGGTACACGATACAAAGAGCTCTTTATATACAGATGAATGAATATTAAAAAAAGTCACAGCCTTTTGTGAGAAAAAGTTTCTTCCTTTCCGTCATTAGAACATTTTCCTCAACTGCATTTTGCTTCTTTGAGACTTTTTGCTTCATTGGGATCTTTCTCACATCCAGTCGTCCCTCCATTTCATCCTCTGGATCTTCTTTGAGCCTGTGAGCCAACAGAATCAGGAAAGAGTTGAAGTTGTTGCGTTCATGTGTTTTTGTCAATGATCATCAATGAATGAGTGTTAAAGTGAGAAAACTACACAAGCAGAACAAAAATATGATAATTGAACTGGAATATTTTTAACATCACAGTGACTTTCATAAACAGAACATTTCCAAATGAGAGAAAACTTTTGAAAGCAACAGTGAAGATCATTTCAGACTGTTTGCTTAGTTACTGTTGTTATGCCTGTATGTATGTCAATAAAGAGCTCTGACAGTAACTTGGTATAAAAAAGGAAAATAAATATGTGACTTACATATTACCAGAGTGATAATGAGCAGCATATTAATGCAAAGAAGAATGATGATGCTCCAAATCCGATCAGGCTGAACTGTGAATGAATCAGATGAAAAGATAGAAGAGAGAACAGAATGACATTATTGAATCAAACTAGAGCTCAACAGTGACAATATGTTTAATATATTTAGAGCTCTTTATAACCTGGAACATAGATGTGTGTCTCTCTGGTCTGGTGGATGTCCTTCTGTTGGACTCTACAGGTGAAGATGTTGCTGTGTCTCTTCTCCACAGTCACTCTGCTGCTGACAGTATAGAGGTCATCAGGACCTCTGACTGTCTCTGTAGGTCCAGCAGAGAGGAGGTTTCCCTCACCGTCCAGCCAGACCACCTCAGGCTCTGGATACCAGCCTTTAGACTCACACTGTAAAACTACACTTCCACTGTTATTGGAGACAACCTCTATGATGGGAGTGGAGACAACACCTGATGAGAAGAGAGGAGGAATATCAAACAGTGGATTCAGATCCAACAAATAACTTACAGCACTGTTTTCTTTGTGTCTTATCATTGCTGCTTACTTCTAATATAAAGTTACATTACTGATCTTTGCAGTCAGCAGAAATGTGTAATTCATCATCTTCAGAAAGTCTGACTTACCAACAGTGAGTTGGATGGAAGCTTCCTTCAACATTGGTTCAAGGAAGCAAAAGTATTTTCCTGCATCAGAGATTTTCACTCTGAAGATTTTCATGGAGACGTTTCCATTCTGCAGTTCAGCCTCAAACAGTCTCGTTCGGTAAAAATAAGATGGATTTTGACTGTGATACACCAGTCGTCCATCTCGGTGAACATGGATGTACTTTGGATCTAAACCAGGTCTGGTCCACTCCACTGTCTCAGAACTGGCATTGATTGGAGGATCAAGGTAACATGGTAGAATGACATCATCACCAGCCAGGGCTACGATTGGTTGATGTGAACAAATCAACTCTGACTGCTCTGCAACGCAAACTAAAGAACAAACAAGAAACAGTAGTATAGTTATAATACATGTCATCAGACTGAATGGATTCATTTTTACTATCTAAAAGAAAACATTTAATAAAACTGCATCAAAAACAAAATTCTAAATATTGTCACATACACACATCAATGTGTTACTGGACTGTTTCTATGTGTAAATTACCTGTTAAACACTGTGTTAGAAGAATGATGAAAACCCTGCAGGTCCTGAAGGACAGTCCATCACAGAGCTCTGTCTTTGGATACAGCATTGTAGACTCCTGAATATAAAGAAAGACACAAACCTTTAGTCTGCTTGTTTAAAATAAAATAAATAAAAGTGGAAAATGAGGTTGAACAGGGTAGAAACTGTAGAGCTGATTTTAGCTTTTCTTTTACTGTCTCTCTTATTTCTCAGTGCATCAGTGTTCAGCTCCTTATCTGCTGTAACTTCCTGTAACTGACTAACCACAAACACGTAGACAGAAATAAGTCCTGAAGTTACGTCTTATATACTTTTTATTTTCTTCTCCTCCTGTACAGTCTGTTTGAAAACATTTTGTCTGTTTTAAAAAAAACAAATCCAACATTTTACATTCAAGTTTTACTTTAAAAAGAAACTCTGACTTACAGCGTGATGGATGCAAACTCACCACTGTGATGTTGTTCTGTTCTTAATCTGACAGGAAATGAGAATGTACAATGACTTTATGAAATTTCACAGTTTCTCAACATTTGAGGTTTTGAGTTCCTCTCTGTTATTATCTCTAAAGAGTTGTTCAGCAGGGCAGTCAGTATTTTCAACCAGTGGATGTAACTGAACACTGAATGAATGACTAATAATCAGGTTGTTAGAGTAGTTTTCATATAAAGTTTAGTCCTGTTCATACTGTGTTTACAGACATTACAACTTCTTCCTGCAGGAACAAATAAGTTTATATAGCAGGAAATAAAGTCAGTGACTAGATTCAAAAGGAATTCATAAAAATCAGTCTGGGAGATAAAATATTTGTTGATTAACACCTTTGACAAAAAGGTTCATCAGAAACTCATCAAAGTTTGAGCATGTTGGAAATACTGAATATATTTAAAAAGATTCTTTATCATGACTCTTGTAGCTGCATTGATAAACTCAGAGTTCACTGAGCCAGTTAACAACCAGCTTTATGAGACCACTTATCCAGGATCACCAATGTGAAGACAGGTACCCCAATGAGAGCCACACTGAGTTCAACTGGATTCATGATACAACTTTATAAAACAGATTATTCAGCATTTTCAATGAAAGAGAGTCTGAGTTAGTGGAACTTGTTCTGTGAGACAATGTGCTGATTCAGACAGCTGTACACAGGAGATGACAATTATAAAGTAACAGGATGCAGAGAATGAAAGTTGAGCGAAGGTATCCAAAAACCAACCAAAAAAAAACCAGCCACAATACGAAGAAGAGGCTCAACCCACAAGTGATGTGTGTGAAGCGGTTTTCCCTCTTTACTATAAACTAAAATAGTCATGCTGTTCATGTTACTGTGAAGTCTTCTACAAATCTAAAGGAGGAGTTTAGAACTTGTTTTGAACCAATAATCAACAGAATCCTCAAACACGTGTACAGAGATTAGATATGGGAGGGTTCTGTAGGGTTCAGGTTAAATATCCCTCATCTAAAGATAGCCTTCAGAATTGGGTTTTACACTGTGCATTCCTTTTACTGCTTATCTAGATTCTCCTCAATACATTCTGCTGTGTGAGTGATCTTCAAATATATGATGATTCATTTCATCAAAACATGTTGTTATATTCAGAAACACTGAATCACCCCTTGAGCCATCTTGGCATTTAAACTACAAGGATGTGGGGCAGTAGTTTCCTTTTGTAGTGCTACTGAAGGTTGTGTTAAAGTAGATTAAATTAAAATTGGTTGATTCAACCTCATCAGGGGTCAAACAGAGGGAGGTTTGGTCACCCACACTTTAACTATTTGAATGCACAAGTCAGCTCATTTATACAGACTGAGGTATAAAGTAAACACTGTTGAGTGTTTAGTTGTGTGTCTGTCAGAAAGCCTGTTGCGCCCTCTTGTGGCTGTTCATAAGGAGACATATTCCTGCAGAGGAAGAGGAGAGCTGCTGATAGAAGATGAAGCAGTTAACTGCAGACATGAAGAACAGACTGACTGAGTCTCCTGGATCAGAAACATCTGGATAACATCAGGAGTCATGAAGTAAAGTGACACACAGTCCTGCCGTGTCTCCAGTTCAGTTTGCTCTGCAGTTGATGTGGATCAGCATAAAGTGTAAAGTTTTAAAATGTCTCTGGCCTCTGAAGCCTTTTTGTCCTCTTTATAATTCTTTATTTAATTTATTATTTTTCTCAGTCAATATGTGACCTCATGTCTAACTGAACAACTCACAGAGAGTGTGAATAAAATGTGACTCTACCATCATTTGAATGGCAGCCTTGTATCATCGAGTACAGTAACAAGATAAGATAGACTTTATTGATCCCACACTGGGGAAATTCACTTGTTACAGCAGCTCCAGATACAACACAGCAGATAAGATAGATACAAAATAAATACACATTAAATAACAAAATAAAATAGAAAAATAAAAGATATGAAGAAAAAAGTAGAGTTATATGTACACTATATACAGCTTTTTATACAGATTTGAATATTGTGCAGGTTACAGCCAGAGGTAGTGACATGGTATAAAAAGAAATGTGCGTGTAGGAAATTATATATATATATGAATGTGTTACTGGAGTGATATGTGTGTAAATTACCTGTTAAACACTGTGTTAGAAGAATAATGAAAACACTGCAGGTCCTGAAGGACAGTCCATCACAGAGCTCTATCTTTGGATACAGCATTGTAGACTCCTGAATATGAAGAAAGACAAAAACCTTTAGTCTGCTTGTTTAAAATACACAAAAACAAAAGTCTTTACTGGAAAATTAGGTTGAACAGGGTACACACTGTAGATTTTATTATTTATTTCTGTCCCAGTGCATCAGTGTGATTTGTTTTCAGCTCCTCATCTACTGTCACCACATCTTGGTGAACATGGATGTACTTTGGGTCTAAACCAGGTCTGGTCCACTCCACTGTCTCAGAACTGGCACTGATTGGAGGATCAAGGTAACATGGTAGAATGACATCATCACCAGCCAGGGCTACGATTGGTTGATGTGAACAAATCAACTCTGACTGCTCTGCAACGCAAACTAAAGAACAAACAAGAAACAGTAGTATAGTTATAATACATGTCATCAGACTGAATGGATTCATTTTTACTTTCTAAAAGTAAGAACACATTTAATAAAACTGCATCAAAAACAAAGAAAAGACTCTTAAAATGTCTAAAGTCGTTTTTTCTCTTTCTAATTATTTCTTCCTGACTACAGTTTTTTTCCCTCAGTCAATATGTGACATTATGTGTAACTGAAGAGTGAGACTGTGAGTAAAATGTTAAACAGTCCTGTATCAGGTTGGAAATATTGCTTTGGGTCTCATTAAATGTTTTTCCCACATTTATGTTTCCCAGAGAGTTAAACCTATTGACCTTAGTTCAATGTGAAATGTCTCAACAAATATCAGGTGGATTAACATGAAACACACACAAACACACACACACACACACACACACACACACACACACACACACACACACACACACACACACACACACACACACACATACTGTGCTATTGTTTTGTGTAGAAACTACCTGTTAAACACTGTATTAGCAGAATGATGATAAACACAGCAATGTGGGTCCTGAAGAACAGTCCAATGAGCAGCATCTTGGACTCCTGAGAATGAAAAAAACAACATGTCTGACACTGTGGTCAGCAGCACTGGGGCTCCACAGAGAACTGTTCTTTCCCCCTTTCTGTTCACCCTGTACACCTCGGACTTTCAGTTCCTCTCTGAGTCCTGCCACCTGCAGAGGTTTGCGGACGACTCTGCAATTGTTGGCTGTGTCAGTGAGGGGAAGGAGGAGGAGTACAGGGATATGTGGACTCTTTCGGCGAGTGGTGTGCAACTAACCATCTGCATCTCAACCCCACCAAGACTAAGGCGCTGGTGGTGGATTTCCGCAGGAGGAAATCTGCCCCCACACCCATCTCCATCTACGGTGTGACTGTGGATGTTGTCCAGGATTACAAATACCTTGGAGTATACCTGGATAACAAACTGGACTGGGCCAAGAACACTGAGGCTGTTTACAAGAAGGGCCAGAGTCGACTCTATTTCCTGAGGAGGCTCCGATCATTCAACGTATGTAACATCATGCTGAGGATGTTCTACCAGTCGGTGGTAGCCAGTGCCATCTTCTTTGCTGTTGTATGCTGGGGCAGCAGGCTGAGGGCAGCAGACGCCAATAAGATCAGCAGGATCACCAGGAAGGCTGGCTCCGTCCTGGTGGTCCAACTGGACTCTTTGGTGGTGGTGTCTGAGAGGAGGATGCTGTGTAAACTGCACAGTATCCTGGACAACAACGCTCACCCTCTCCACCAGGTGCTTACCTCGAGCAGAAGCACCTTCAGCAAAAGACTCATTCCCCCCCGATGTAACACTGAACGCCAGAGGAAGTCTTTTCTTCCTGTGGCCATCAGACTGTATAACTCATCTACCTCCGGTCGCGAGAGGGACAGTGGAGACACTGTGTCCTGAGCCAAATGTCACTTTGTCACTTTGTAATTTTTACCCATCATATCACACAATGACATAATAAATGAGAGTATGATCTAATGATAGATAGGTTTTAATAGTAGTGTTGAGTACAGTAACACTTTAATTTGACTTTGACATACAACAGTTAATTAATTATAAATACAGAAAAGTGCAAAAATAAATGCTTCAATGTGAACAGAGGTTAATGCCAAGATCAGTATTTTCATTGTCACTAAAACCAGAAACTAAAGGAGCATCCTGTCACATCCACAGCTCCTTACAGGACAAATCTCAACCAGCATACAGTGTAAGGAGAACAATGCAGACTTTTATTTTGTAGATAAACTAATCAAATGAACTCATACAGTTCGAGTAAAGAAACTGACAGTGAACAGTTCTGTGTTTAAACAGATGAGAATGGATGATGATGATTATAATGAATATTAAACACAGTCACAGCCTTTTGTACACAACCTGTTGACATTTTACAAAACAGTTCAGATTCTTTTAAAGTGCTAAAGTGGGAACTTTGATACAATCCATGAAATGAAAGCAGGAATCTTCAGTCACAGCTCATATCTTAGACTGGACACCAACATCATTAAGATCTCCCTTCTTCACTGTGTGTCTGCAGCCTTTTCACTGGCTCAAAGACAACACCTGCTCACATAGACTGAAAACAAAGTCACAATGGATAGATTGTAAACTAGGAAGACAAACAACATCATCATTCTCTGTCAGTGTGATGGTAGAGCAAGAAAAGATGGAGAATATCCTCCAGTGTCACAATGATTTCCTCCTCGTTCTCGGTCACTACAGGAGGTTTTTAGTCCACGTCGTTCAACGCTGCGTCTCTCTGTGTTTTAAAGTGTCTCGTGTGCCTGTTTATCACCATGTGTTACATCTACATCCGGTTTGATTCCATTCTCTGGATCCACTTTATGTCTGTGAACCAACAGAAACAGGAAAGTGTTGAAGTTGTTGTTTTTATGTGTTTTTGTCTAATCAATGAATGAGTGTTAAAGTGA